ACTCCCCTAGTGGCTACGGTCCCTCTTTAAACTCCCCTAGTGGCTACGGTCCTGAGCAATGATTATGGTTTGATTGATGACTTGTCGAATGACATGTTGTTCCCTAATTGTCACATTAATTGATTGATGCGATATTCTCTCCAGGTTCCTTTCAGAAATCTTCCTGCTTTACCCGATTGCCCGGTGGCACAACTCGTTCCCAGTACCTTTTTAGGCAACGTCACGTGTACATGTAATGACGTCATGTGTCAAACACAGATTCGTATTCGACCTGAGGAAGGTATGAGCCCTGGTGACGACTAGAAGCGTTCTTTATGAAAATGAACTGTTGATCACATGACTAACTCAGTTAATATTCATAATTAATGTTAATATATTCAATGTCTATTGTTGTCAGGAGAGCCGCAGAAATGGATATTTACATCAAAGGGAAGTATTGACATTGAATGCGATGCTAAAAAACAGCTGTCATCCAAGATTACCATCCAAGTACGAGACGCGTTTGGTAACCCAGCCGAATGTCCACCAGAAATAGTACCCATCATATCGCTAGCTTACACCAGACAGTAAGTATGGTTCTTATCATATCGCTAGCTTACACCAGACAGTAAGTATAGTTCTTATCATATCGCTACAATAGCTTACACCAGACAGTAAGTATGGTTCTTATCATATCGCTAGCTTACACCAGACAGTAAGTWTKGTTSTTATCATATCGCTAGCTTACAYCAGACAGTAAGTATAGTTCTTACWTAACGTTTTCCCTGACCACTTGTGGACCAGTCTTCTAAACATCCAACAATAAACTCTGCAGACGTCCTGCATATTCTTATCAAAACAACTCCATCTCTTGGACAAGATAAGGGGGTGCTAATGAGCAATGCGTGAGTTCTGCAAAGGTTTTCCTTTGACTTTTTGGAGAAGGTCTGAAAACTCCTATGTAAGAAGTGATATGTGTCTGCAGAGGTTTTTTTTTTTGACTATGTAAGAAGTGATATGTGTCTGCAGAGGTTTTCCTTTGACTTTTTGGGGAAGTTTTGAAAACTCGTATGTAAGAAGTGATATGTGTTTCCACGTAGAGCAGCTTCACAGAAGGCTTTCCTTTTGCTTTCTGTCCCTTCCTAAAAATCAAAACATTGTATTATTCGTTCATTATTGCATACTATTACGACTACATCTCTGCAATAGTCTTACTAATGCTTGTTACCGCGTTCATTTGTTCATAGGAACGCAGACACAGTCAGTTACCAGGGTGATATGATATACAACAAGCAAAACAAGGAGTTTCGGTTCACTAATGACTCTACGATATCCGGTACACCGGGTATATTAACTATGACGGTATCTGACGAACACGGCAAGTTCTCCAAGGATACGCAGGAGATTCAGCTAAAACCCGGTAGGTAAACCACGAACTGTCAGCTGGGTTATCAAGATATACTACAAGAACAACATCATCAACAACAACAATAACACCATCAACAACAGCAACATCCATGAATCAAAATTATCAAGTGATCAATACTTTATTGGTACTATCTATTTTCAAGTGTTTTCGCGATTTTCGTGATTTGTAAAAAAAAAATCATTTTGCCATCTATCAATAATACTTGATTGACAAGATCTATTGTCACCAGGCCCCCCTCATCATCTCGAGATATGGAGTCAAGCCTTTGAATCTACTGACCAGAACCAGGAACAGTCTTTACGAGCCGTGTCAGGATGCTGCCTTACCAGTCCYATTCAAGTGTGCGTCTGCGATCGAGCTGGTAACAGAACMCCCCTGAAAACGACTTTTGGTATTAACTGGCTGCCTGGTTCGTCSGGTTGTACTGTCAGTAAAAAGACCAGTTTAAAGGGGGAGGCAATTTTTGTTGCTAATGCAATCCAGTGTACTGCGAAGCCAGACCAGCATGTCAAAATGAAGATATCAAGCACCGAACATAAAGGAATCCAGGTTCTTATTGCTTCTTTACTCAAAATRTATACTCGTATGTGATTGGCTGAGGGCTAATAGTCAGTTTTTCATGTCTTAATGTCACGGTGCAGTCATTTTTCGTGTTTGACTGTGGCGTGACACATGCATCGAGCTAAACTACGAGCCTTTTGTCCGGCACCTCAGTCACCTACCGCAGTTTTGGGAATACAATTGTTTATTTCATACTCAGCTTCAAACAATCAATGATTGTTTATGTCTGCACTATACGTAATTCATTTTCGTAACGAATTAAAACGTCACAAGAAAACATTAATAGAGCTGAAGMTTYGGTATATTTGTGCAACGGCACATCAYGGAACCTCACAAGTTATCGATGACATGGAAAACATTGAATTAGACTGCAGTTCAGCATGGACATGCAGCCTTTTAGTACACATTTGTGGTACCTTAGTTAACTCTTGAGAGAGAATAGTTGATATTATTCTTGATGCTAAAACCTGCTGCTGTTAATATTTTTMAGCCCGCAGTAGTTAATGTCAGCGTGGAATCCAGTAATCGCGTGACTGGTCTCATTGTCAGGAAGGACGAAACCGAGCTACTTTCAACATCGAACTTTCCTGTTCTTAAGGTATTCAACTGCCATTTAGATCCACACACATGAACACAAACGTAGAGAGACTTGAAGAGACATTATGCTTGAGGGACATTCATTACTGAATCACGTGGTTATTATTGGCCGACGACCCATCATCTCATTCACCAACAATTTGTCCATTATTCCTCACTACCAATGATGTCACTCAACGTCGTTGTGAACGTTGTCCGGCGTAAAACCMTGAAAAAGAACTCTTTAAACCTATGTGAAATGAGAATACAAAATAGATGTTGGCACATTGGTGTTATTTTTGTAATTAATATTGATTATAAATGCATTAGATCGAATGTAAGACTGAGGATGGTGTTCGAGTTGACGCTGTAGGTCACTTAAGCCTTGGCCTGTCCCCCCCTGATGGCGATATCATACCAGGCTCAGTCGTGTATCGTAAACCTACACAGAATAGAGAAGGAGTTGTAACGTACACCCCCCTGGCTAATAAATGCATGGAGCAGGCAGGAAACTGGAGCATYACGTGTCAGTTTACCGAGTACAGAGAAAGACTCAAATCGATTCTYGTTCGTACAGAACACGTGACATTCAGCTCKCCATTGAAGTTCACCGTTCTCCCAGGTAATYATGCTAGTGTCAGGATAGTTTGTTCTCTATCTTACGCGATGCATCACGGGAAGGGCAAAGTAATAGCGCAAAGACGTGATTTTTGTCTCCTTCCCACAAACCTTTTCGAGTGTAAYAAGAAMAAGAGCTGAGTTTGATGTGTTGTTTTCAGGTCCAGCCAAGTCAATTGTCGTCAAGTACCTATCAGAGACTGCAGGCATGTTAACTGCGTCTAGTACCGCTGACACACGTGGACGAACTATTCTCCCTCGCTCAGGAAAAAAGTAAGATTTTATACCAGATTTTATATTCAGATTGCGATCATATTTTGCATACAAATCTTATGTCTATTCAAATCTTACATCGAAAGGGATAAAGTAACAAACCGGCTTTAAGATGATAGAATTATTCAATTGCCCTATTTCATTACTCAGAAACAGGGTCACGTATCAAAGATTTCTCATTGTACATAATATTTGATATATAGTCACTCTGATTCCTTCTGGCGACCATRATCCTTAGCGTTAAAACAATAGGATGTTTTGATATGACGTCATAATGAAATAGGGCAATTTAGCCTTTTTTTTCTTGAGTAAATCGAGGCACGAACGTTCGACCGATCATAGCAGTCCTTCAAATGAGGTAATGCTTGTTTTCAGTGAGGCAGTGGATATCAAAGTCTTAGATGAGCACGGTAACACAGCYAACGCATCGGTAGTTGTAGACGTATCTATCTTGTGGTCGTCGGGTCCTATACCAGAAGGTGTAGTTATACCCACCTTAGAAGATCACCCTATGAAAATCACCGTAGATCACGGAAAATCACGGATACCCCGGTTGGTGTTAAAGYCCCGTATTGGAAACTACATCGGAGAGTATCTGCTGGTATTCTCTGCTCTGGGTTTGGAACCATTTACTATCAAGTTTGCATTCAACACAGGTTTGTCTATTGATGTTCGTCAGAAATTTTCAAAAGGAATCCTAAAGATTCCGAAAGTCTTGAAAAAAAGCCGGCGTGGCTGACTGATTTTTAACCCCTAAGAGATTGMMCACCAAATATTGTTAAATAAATTATAAAAATGCAGGGGAAAATCAATATCGATGCGCTCTTCTCACCGCCCTCCCCCCCACCCCCCTGTATTTCCAAATCACCAATGGATATAGCCTTAAGTAGTTCGTAATTATGTTTATTTGTATGGATATAGCCTTAAGTAGTTCGTAATTATGTTTATTTGTATGTCAACAGATGAACATATGCAGAGATTGCAAGCAGAATTGGCTCCCTTGAAGAAAAGGGTCACCGACAAGGAAATAGAAAGTCACGAGGCAAAGAAAAAACTCTCTAAATGTAAACTAGAATTAAACAGTAAAGCGGCGCCGATAAGAAGTCTTTTTAAAGGCGAACTAAGGTCGGCTGAAGTTCGCGCGCTAATCCAAGAAACTAAACAAAAAATAACAGTGATTGACAACGGTGAGAGAAATGTCAGACAATCTACTGTGCAACGGGGATTTCCTCCTGATAGGATACGGCAGTACATAAAAGGTTTGTCCATGTTTTTGGGTCACTTTTCGGGTYACTTTTTCGTGTCATGTTTCATTCGTTTTTTWTCTTSTTCCCATTTTATTTCACACCTTTCTCCTTTGTCMCTTCCTTTCTGTATTCTCTTTTCTTGTTCTCTTCCTGTCTCTCTCTCTCCCAATTTCCCTTCTTTCCATACACTCTTTATTCCTCCTTGTATTCATTCATTGTTGTTATCCCATTTGACAGCATGTTTTTGATATGTAGGTGTAGTAGCCGAGCTAGCTTACGTATCAGATCCTGACATTGCTCGCCTTCTATCTTGGTACCTTCAATCTAAGATGGGAGTTTGCTTGACAACGTCTATCGACAAACAAAAAAAAGTTTACGATCTTGGCTTCTCTGCTTATTGTGAGTCAACTATTCTACCCTTCTCCAAGAAAGACTTTGACGGYCGGGACGGCAAGAATCTTCCTCTAGAGTTCCCACGACCGCCCAACAACTTCAAAAGCACGATCCAGTTCGCCATCAACCTGCTGGAGTTCTCGTCTAGTAATGGATATCTGAGAAGTACACTGTACTGGTCATTACTCTCTAAAACTATGGTAATAGAAAACCTTGAATCTGCACAGATCTACCGTCAACACTTGGTACAAATGCGCTATCCTTGCCCCACCATACTAACACGTGATGGGCACGTGATCGCCAGCGATGGACTCATGGACCCCAAGCGTCGATGTCCCAGGAGTCTTAGCGATTTGAAATTTACATTTGGTGCACTTCCACCTTCTGAACTTCCGGTGAACAGAGAGCTGCAGACTACACTTGTTCACTTAGAGGACTTGAATACCAGTGTAGAAGAATATGAAAAAACACTGGAAACCGTGAAGAGAAAAGAAGATGAGCTTAAAGAACAAAGAAATTTACTGTCGCCAACAATAACAAACCTAGAGAGAGAACTGCGCAAACTCCGAACACCACCTTCCCAGAGAGAYACTGCGGACTCACCTTCAGATAAGCGTAAGCGTAGGTAAAGTAGTATGATTGGTTATAATGGTCACGTGATGAAGTGATGTCATGTAGATGTTATCCAATCAGCAGTTCGWTAGTCACGTGATAATATTGATAGCCCTGATTTATCGCTATTGAAAGTTAAGCGTGTTATTGCAGTAGCGCATTGAGGCCCCTTTATTTTTATTTATTTATTTATTTATTATTATTTTTAACATTTATGATTACCGATCCGAATTCAAAATTAGCCTCATTTGGTTTTCTCGACTTTCCTTATCGTGTGCAGTAGAACTGAACGGTTACCTTAAAAAGCAGTTTCAGTTCTCTTGAATTTAATTGGATAAAATCAATGATTCGCCGGTCGATTAGACAATCAACTAAAGCATAGATTGATTATATGATTGATTGGTTTTATAGTTCTAGTTATTATAGTTATTTTGATTTAGATTCATTGCCTTATTTTTAATGTAATTTATAGCAAAAAAGTATTTATAGAAAGCTGCAATTTAGTGAAGCTTTATTCGCAAGTTTTATCACACAAAAAGCGTGAAAAAGTACTGATGAATAATGAAAACTTGCACAATACAGTGTAGATTAGTCAATAGACAACAAAAGAATTCTTATGAACAGTACGATTTAGCACTATTTAATTACCTTGAATTGTTCATGGTGTTGATAGTGCTAATTATGGTAATTCTATTGTTCTATTGTTTTGTATTTTTCATTAAGAGTAGAAGCATTACTGAATATTGTTCCTCAGGCAATAGAGTGCAAGCAATATGTCCGTAGAATATTAGCAACAGTCTATTGTATGTGATTTTTGTTTTCGTTTATTTTGCACAATTTAGGAATTGGTGTTTCCACAGTTAGAATGATCTAAAAAAAACCGTGAAATAGATATTGCACTATACACCTTTTAAGGTGTTAAAATTCACTCTAGTTGCATTGTTTTCTTTTGTGTCTATTTGAATATTACACTCTAATTTTGTTTCACGGGTTTGGTGAGTGTTGTTAGCATTMTCGGAAACAGAGGAATAATTSAGTACCTATTTTGTGTTTTTTAAGTTTCGCGGATTATAGTTAGTAAACTATTAGTAGCAGAACTTCTTTTGATTGCTTCTTACAATCAGTTAGTGTTTCACGGGCTAGAACCAGTACAGTACTACTAAATAGTTCTATCAGTGAAGTCAAAGAACCCGTTAAATARATATTACATCAATACACCTTACGTACGCTTTTAGTGCATTGTTCTATTTTCTATCTATTTGACTCTCGCATTTTAATMGTCAAATCTTGTTTCACGGGTTTATTGACTTCAATCTACACATAATGAATAGACTTATTGATAATCGCCTATAGATTTGAAAATAAACAATTTGAAAGCTACATTTATTAGCCATCAGTTCGAAAACGTTCGAAAATTATCTTTTAAAATAAATGTAGTCTTCAAATTTTAAGTTTAAATATAAATAGACTGATCCATTTATAACATCGTAATAATAATAATATCTAATAATAATCTCTAATTATATATCTTTTAATATGTACGTGAGACATTCTTTACACGGAACTGTTTTCTCGGTTTTAAGACAGTTTTTGCTCTTCAGAAGGAAAAACCGAAAACGGTTCCAATCATATCAATACATTCGTAATAATCGAGTCCATTTAGTTTCCATGTTTTCTTTCCATTAAAAACCAAGTAGATTGGGTCTTCACCTCTCTCGACACGAATAGTCTCGTTCACGGTTACCTGCGCCAGTTTGAAAGTTAGCAGTGYCTTTACGTCGAAGCGAGACAACTGTGCAATGATAGATTCTACCTGTAAATAATTGTCTTTAGGTTTGAAAGAAGGTTTCTATGATTACACGCTCAACGGTTGTCTCGCTTCGATGTAAAGGTACTGCTACCTTTCAAGATGGCGCAGGGAACCATGCAGGAGACTATTCTCTGATTGGCTGYGTCGTTCTGAAAGGAACAGTGAAACTTTTTGTCTTTTGTTTCCTTCYTTTGTTTTGAACAGGGCTATTGGGTTCAATTTTCCGAGAGGTGAAAGCACATCCATTTCTTTTTTAAAGAACACTTTTTGGCATCCAGAAACCAGCTAAAATGGACAAATTTCCTTTGAAGCTGACGGGATGCAGAAAAGGACTATCCAACAGAATCTTTGTTCGTGTTACATTTATTTAAAAAAGTGTTGTTGAGTTAAATGTCACAAAGAATGGGAAGTCATGGAATGTCACGCATTTTTTTTTTCTGGAGAATGCGTGACTTTTCCTGCGTCACGCAAGACTCTACATCGAGTTGTAACAATTGAATGATTCTTATAATATTTTGAGATTTGTGTAATATTTACATCATTTTAATAATATTTGTCGCTTGTAATAATTTCTTATAGAAAATTTTGTACATTTGTAAGTACAAGAATTATAGTTTAACAGAAGATCGTATTTGTAAAATAATATTTATGACTTGCCAAATAAATCAAGTATTAGTTTTACTTTACATTGAAGTTGTTGATGTTTGCTTTTCATTGAAAGAATGATAGTGTTGTTGTTTTCTCTTTTTCTTTTTGATTGTTTTTCTTTTCATCTCCTTTGCAGCCTAACCTTTGGTAAGGACTCGTGTCTCTTTTGGGAGGCAATTGTGTAAAAAGATAAATTTAACACCGTAAAAAAGTAGGTGAAACTCGTTTCGGACGTTAGTAATCCTTCGGCGGAGTGAGATCACACTAGTTTATCGCTAGTTTCCACTCTTTTGAGGGACAGGAAGTCCGATCAAATGGTTGGCTGCGAACGAGACTAAGCCTATAGACGCCGTCTATGATAACGAGGAGAACTGGCGATATCATAACCTTATACGAACAGATTGCGTTTACAGTACAGTTTCTTTTACACGAAATCTATCGAAAAAATCTTCCATTGTATATTTATCATGTAATTTATATCTATTATTTATTTCTGTCTTTCGAATTTTTTTAACAGTGAAAATGACACATTCGTGGTATATTAATATTAAGCAAAAAAGGTTGATAATATACTGATTTGATCTTCTCGTGAGTTATCTTTTCAACGCCCCATGGCTGTCTCCGCGCTTAAAGCGTACAAATAACATACATTGCTATTGTTGAAAACAGTTTTCATTAAAAGATTCAACCAGTGTAAACTTTGCCATAGTGAAAAAGATTTGTTCCTGCTGCTGCTGAATCCACCCAAAACATCACAAGTGGCATGCAGTATCCGAAGCATATTTTTAACTGCTCTTCAAAGCGATTAGAATTAAGCAGATATAGAATTATCACCTGATAATCATTGAAATTATTTGGGTATACCAATGAATCTAAGAGGTACAAATAATATAATCTAACGGTTTGTCTGTCTGCCTCCTCTCAAGCCAAATTATAGACTATAACCCCCTCACCCTCTCAGGATTCTGAGTACCACCTCCTGATTTCACAACCGAAATCAGCACCAAAAGAAACTGAGTGCATTGTTTCTGCAGGAGTTAAAATATGGCAAATATTCAGGGATTCCATTCATTTGAATTCAAGAAAAATTGCTTGTCGATAGACTATGAAAAGGACATTTTCTTTTCTTTTCTTTTATCAACAAAGTAGTTGTGGTCAGCGGTAATATATTCAACCAATCATTATCYGTGTCTAAGTCACGTGGTGTGGGGTATAAATGTACAGCGTCGCACATGGTTTTCCTCTTTGATCTTCGACGGCCATTCCAAGGGAATGTGGAGTTAGTCAAGCAAAGTTTGGTAAGAAATTCTCTTTAATTTGTTAATTTTCGTGAATAAATAGATCCAGTTTATATTTACAACATATTTTTTAGATTTGYAAGCATGATATTCGTCTAAATGTTCCATAAAATGCCATAAATCGGGTAGAAACATTCTTTGCGT